GCATTAAAGTAAAGTTAACTTTTATTTCTTATTTCACACGTTTTATTGTATTCCCCCTTGGAAAAAGTACCTTGCTGACCTCATTGGTGGGTACAGCCATGCTCACCAGAGGTGGCAGTATGAAATAAGAAGTAAGGGTACTCTTGTGGACAAAAATCAGAAGTGCCGGTACTAGCAAAGGCTAGTATGGCTATTTCAGACGCTGGTTCTCCACCAAGTGCAAAATGTAAACACAGCTTGCTTTTTGTTTCCTCTGGTGGTATTTATTAACCAACTCACCAAGCTGTGCTGATATAAGAAAATAATGGACATTACTACCTATTGAAAACTCTGTCTCCAAAGTCTGCCCACACATTTTAAGTCATTTAGAGTGACATCTAATGACACGATGAGTTTGTGTTATTACACCGGTAAATGGTAAATGGACTTGTTACTTTATAGTGCCTTTCTGGTTTTCCGACCACTCAAAGCGCTTTTACACTACGTGCACATTCACCCTTTCACAACATTCCACTCAGTGATGGCAGTGATGCAATCGAACTGAAACTAAATGATTCATACACATTCACACCGATGCACGGCATCAGGAGCAATTCGAGGTTGAGTATCTTGCTCAAAGGATCTCAAACAGGCGGAGGAGCCGGGGATTGAAACCAACAACCTTCTGATTAGTGGACGACCCGCTCTGCCTCTGAGCCACAGCCGCCCTGTGAGTTGCTAAAAGCCTTTATCAGAACATATTAATGGATGATTCACTGTGTGAAGGGTCAATTTATCTCCATTTGCCTTTTCTACAGAAAAGTGACTAAAACCAGTTCCCCAGTAATAAAAACAAATCTCCTTTTGTTCATGGGTTCACACATGTAGAGAATACACAGCAGTGACACAAGAGCTACCAGGAATATCCATGTTTAGAGGAGATAAGATATAATAATAAACATGCTGATGTCAAAGTAATGCTCTGGAATGGGTTCAAAGTTGATTAACTAAAAAAAGACAATTAGCTAACTAACAGATATCCAACTTGGATCAGTCAGGTCTTTTTTCTTATATGATCTAAAAGTAAACTAACATCTACCCAGGGGGTTCTTAAACAGATTAACTAAAGTAAACTAAAAACAGCTATGGGAGAATTGGTTCCACAATCTAGGAGGTTTGGGTTGTTTTTTTCATGAAACTACCACCCCTATTTCACCAGATCCAATTGCCAAGGAAATATAGTCCTGTCACTTCTCCACTATCAGTCACATAACTTGAATCTGTCCTGTGACCTGCTCTCTTGCCCATTCGTTCTAGGTACAGGACTTCTCCACATCCCAAAGTGGTGGGATGGTGTTCATGAGGTTGCAAAACAACAACAAATAATTAAATATTAAACTTGTCTGAACATTTCTGAGTTCTACAGTGATGTAGTTATCTGAAACGTCCTTATCTTGCTTATTTTTTCTGCATTAGGAAATCTTTATGGCTGCGTTAATCATTGTTTCCATGTCAAAAGTAAATAAACAAAGCTGCACAGGTGCCATGAAAATTATATTATCCTTTACCCTTTTCAAACCATTTTTGGTTCGTACTTATAAAAGGGACTAAACAGCGTGGGAGAAACACTAGTATTTATTCAATATGTTAAAGGAAAATAAAAGGAGTATAGGTAATCATGGTTAGTTTACTTCTTCTTTGGGCAGAAATGTTTGATACTGGAACGTAGGAGTGGGTAAATGCAAGGTTTCCAAGAACTGGCTTGACAATAATAAAGCCTGGTTGGCTAAAGATTCCAAATGGGAAAGGTGATTTTTATGAGCTAAACTACCTAGCCACAATATTCTGGCAAACATTTTGCAACATGTTAACAGTTGGATTTTTAAACCATTTATTTGCATAATAAAAATCAAGCTATTTGTACTCAGATGTCAAATATGCTCTGAATTCTACACAGAAATATGGAAATTGGAGTCTGAAAAAGTCTGGAATTTTGAAACAGAAAATGTGAAGGAACCATGACCTACAGTAGTAACTGGGTGTGTTATTTCCAAGGGCAAAGAGTAAATTATTAACTGATTGCATTAGTTTGTGGGGTTAAAAATAATGTGTATATATATACATATATATATCTTAAATTTTTACTTATAATTATACTTATAGTAGCACGCTTTGGCCTTAAGCCTCAATGTTTTAGTCCCCCACCCCTTCTTACCCCTTCATCCTTTTCTAGCTCCAGCCCTGTCTCCAGGAGGTTTTCCTCAAACTCCTCCCGCCTGAAGCGCTTGTCATCCTCGTGATAGTCAGTCCGCTGCTCCTGGGCGGCGATCTCCGGGTCTTCTTTTGGCTGCAGCGGGGCTCGACTGCTTCTCATGCTCAGGCTGCGCCGAAGCCGTTGGATAAAGTTGTTTTCGCCAAACTTGGACGACCGGCGCCGTGTGCTGCTGGGTTTCTGGATGTGGTACGCCAGCACATAGTCCACCCGACGCTGCCCATCCGAGATATACGGGCCTAGCCGTGAATACAAGGGCGAGCCATCATCAGCATAAAGGTTTTTCATTGGCTAGAAGCAAGACAGGGACAAAGACAAAATATCATAGATTAAGACGTGAAGAATTTTTTTACTTCTTAAAAATAAGGCTAACATTGACAAAATACTGCAAGTTAAAACATTTCTCCAGTGTTTTTACTGTATGTGGTAGATGGATTTTGCAGGTAGGGACTTGCAATCATTCTTGGCGCTCACTATGCCAGCAGTCTCTTTCAAAGGAATTCAATGTGATACATTTTACTAGCACAACTTGAACTTACACACACACACACACACAAAGCCTTTTTAAATTCCACAGTTGTGAGTGGCAATTTTATGAGTACATGTCTTGAATAACAAACATTCTTTGTCTGAAACAGTCTGGTAACCAGTTGGTAACCTGCTACCCTCGGATATATTACATGGCAAAACCATTTTTGCTTATTGGAAAAACCCCAAAACACAAGCTAAAAAATATAGTCACCTGAATACCCTTTTTGTCTTAAATTGTCTGTATAGCCTTTTTCATTTCACTGGTATTTTTACAACAATTTGGTCCCCCCTTGACACAACACAATATTTATCCACTAAAATCTCCATTTGTATTTGAAATTCTTTTGATTTGACTTTCTGTTGCCCTTATATCCAAAGGTGCATATCAGTACAATACGGTAAAGTGCTTTCATTTTTCATGCAGCCAAAAGAGCGACATTACAACCCCGTCTCCTACAAATGTTTGTACATTAATAATTTGCAACAGATGGAGAGATGAAAGTCCGTACTGTGCTAATTATTGTTTGTTGGACATACATACAACTTTCGTAATAATTAGCTGTTAGCTTAACAAGCATGCTGTGGTTGTAACAACAACAATTGCAGACAAAGCAGGTGGAAATATCTGTTTTCTACTTTAAACTAGTACTTCACTTTGCCTGGTTCACTGTCTCCAGTCTGGACCCCGCCCTCGTTTTGTCATGGCAAAATATTCACATTAATTATGGTGGGTTCATGCTCCAAAAATATTTGCTCTTCCTTGGTCAATGCTACACCTTTCCACCAAGTCTCATGAAAAACTGTTTTTCTTCTTACATTTTTAGATGTGGCCCTTTAGAATGAGGCAGGAAGTGAAAGGCAGAATGAAGTCAAATTGTTGTGAAACCTGGATTTTATTCTTAAATTAAGGCTAGAAACATATTTTGAATTCACAATGAACTTTGATCCTTGAGTCAAAAGTATAACCAATTCCTTGGCCAACCAGTTGTGAAATATGGTTTTGAGTTATAGCCAAACGTGTTTTGTTATGCCAAAGTGACCTTTGTTTTCTCTCGAGGTATTCCTAAGATATCTCGTTCACAAGACTGAGACAGATGGCTGTATGGACAGATGGACAACCTGAAACCCATGGCTCTTGCTGGCGCGGAAAAAGTAAACACAAACAAATATTTACACTGAGTGGCAGAATGAGAGCACTTAGTGGGGGGTGGGGAGGGTGTAGATAACATAGCCCAGTCTATGGTGGCTATTGATTCTCTGCAGTATATTTATCTGATGGTTGACTGAACTAATGCACTCCTGGGCATCATACACTTTCACCCTTGCAATTTAACACCCTTTACTGCCCCCAGAGACATTCAGTGGAGGCCAGCAGAGAAAGCATAGTGCATCATACATATCTTCATATCTAATAGGGAGTAACATACAACAGAGAGCTGAATCATGTTGTTTGCAGGAATATTTAATTTAAATAGAAAGCAGTGTCTACAGAGTGATATATATCCTGCACTGTCTATTCATGTTTTGCAATTCCCAATTGTATAAAATTAATGGTCTTGTTGTCATCAAACCACTGTGGTATTACACAGTATAGGCCTATAATATATTAATATACAGTATACCTGCACAAATGTCAGCTCATACTCAAATTCACATCTTGTTGCACCTATGGAATAATGAGCCATAAGCCAGGTATATATACTACCAGTCAAAAGTT